CATACATACATACATACATACATACATACATACATACATACATACATACACCACCTATCTGGCAGCCAAGGCCACTCTGGGCAGTTAGATCAAATCAATAATTCACTCATAAACTATAGGCATACAACTTTATATCTCTCCCCCTACTTAGCTTGAAATGAGATGAATACTATCAAGCCTCTTTTAATATATGTAAGAATTGCTGATAATGATGTATATGAAGCATTGCAACATAAAACATTAACAATTTTAACAGCATTATTCAGTTTCAAACCTGAGGTCCCACGTATATATGGGTCAGAGGTGAACAAAATGTTTCCACCAAAAGGGACAAATATATACACCTCCAGTAAATCACCAAATCAAAGTACATTGCCATCAGCATAGAAACCCCACAGAGGTAGACCTTTCTTCAGATTGCAAGCTTCATGGCACTGGACTGTATCCAGTCTCTAGTTGTGCAGGAAGGAGGAACACAGGATATAAAGTGGAAGTGCTGCAAATGTCTTCCATGGTGTCTTGCTGACATATGTGATCACTGTATTTTGTTTCAACCTTATTGCTCTAACACTCTTTTACTACCCCAACAGCATGGATCAACCCACTTTCTCCCCAAGCACCCACATATACAGAGCCACACATTGAGGAAGCACTCCTCCCCACATTTAGTAAGTACTGTTTCCTGTGGTTATGACTTCTCTAGACATTATTGATACTGGCTAATCACTTTTGTGAATCTTGAACGTAGCTGTCTATCCAGCAATCCTCCAACTGTTCCAGGTATAACACAATAAATGGGTTCCCTCCATCTTTCTCAGTCTGGAACTGAGCTCTGAATTTAAACATAGGTACTTGTATGTTTGACATGAGTACTTCAATCTGGGTAGGCTTCCTCCAGCATTTTATGTGTTCATGCAGCTACATGTTTAAGGATCTGTTCTATGGAGCCTCCTTTCTTTTTCCCTAACAAAACTTTTTTTAAAGTACACAAAAAAGTGAGTTGGGGACTCACATTCCTGACTTCACAGAAAATCTCTAGAGACTGCTTTGGTCAGCATGTACACTGTCTCCTCCATCTAGATGCCTAAGAAAAGGCTTCCTTCCCAGGATAGGCACAGAATCCCTGTCCCAGGAAAGTCATTGTGTACTCTCTGCCAGTGTGGAATAATGGTTGTTGGAGTACACTGCAATGGTTAAAATACTGTATCACTGAGTAACACTGGGCTAGTTACTTTCTCTCTGGCCAACCTACTTCAATGGATTTTTGCCAAGATAAAAATTCAAACTCTGTACATTGCCCTCCTTGAAGAAAAGGAAAGACCATCAAGAACAAAGATAAGAAAGAAAGGAGCTATGAGAATACTCTGTTGTTTGTCCTCTCCTTTCTTCCTTTCCTGTACTCAGCTTCACAACTGTGACAGTGAAGAGTGGGAGGAGCATGTAGCCCTTGCCTCTGGGCATGTTTGAGGGCTTGCAGTAACAGAATCCCTCCCAGATTACAATCTCTCAGTAACTGGTATATAGGATTGCTCTAAAGAATCAGGCTGTTGCATTTTTAGCTTGATTTTTACAGAAAATGTGTTTACTATAAAGTTTTAATTGCATTATTTTCAATAATACTAAGAGTACAATTGTACATGTCTACTCTGAAGTAGCTTCACTTGAGTTCAGCAGGATTTATTCCTGGTAAATGAGCATATGATTGCAGATCAAAGGAAGAATAAGAAATACCAAATTTAAGATTCTGCCTCACACAAAAGTTCAAGCTGTTGATGCTAACAAGAATACCATCTGTTCCACACGCACACAAAAACAACCCAAACACCCCCTGATATTTGGCACACCTTTTAATGACAGACTTTTCCATAAAAATCAAAGCATACTTCTCATCATATTGAGTGGGAGGCAGCTAAAAACATAAAAGATCAGTCTTTTATTGCATTCTTAAAGCAACTGCAAGAGCTCTATGTAGCCTTTGATAATTAAAATAAATAAGTTTTAATGTAAGTTGCTATCAAGGACAGACAAACACAAGCTAACTCTGTAGCACCATCCATACAAACCTGATATCTTACTGTACTGAAAGGGGTGGATCTAACGCTTAAGAGGCTGGAAATATGTCATTTTGAAAAAGTTGCAGAAGACATCCAATCCTTTGAAAAGCAGGTGAAAACAATGGGGAAAGTTTTTTCTTTATCTTTTTCGGGTACACTCGCGGGGAAGGATAAGCGACGAAGGTGCCTAATACTGGCAATATAGAGGACCGCCCATTAGACACCCATAAAACCACTAGAACTGTCCTTATGTGACATAAAAACATATGTGATAGTCATGCTTACTGACAACAAAAAAGTGCTTTCCAACAACTGATCGCTGGAGTCAGCTAACTTTATACAACAGACTACACTAGTGAGGCAGCTCAACAGACTCTTGCAAGGAAGTTATTCCATTGACACTCAATTACATTTATAAATCCACAGGCCATCGCTAGGCCTCTATCTAGTGTTGGAGGCTCATTAACCCCAAACTACTGCAGAGTTTTGTTGTAGTTTAGATTTAATCTGTTTCCCTCCCAGGGCAGAGATCTGCTATCAGCTTAACACCCAAACCACTGAGAAGCCCTGGGGTGGAGGTGGGAGCGGATGCCATACATTCGCATGTTTGGGCTCTGGAAAGGGGGTTCACGCCTTTTGTCAAGGCAGTACATGAGAGTGACGTTTTCACAGAGACGTTCCTGTCACCGTGGGGCTTCGCAAGAGGCTTGTGCTTCAGGACCTGTAGAAACAGGGGTGGCACCAGCGACGCCCCCCTTTTTGAGAGAGCCAAAAGCACCTGAAGTCCCCCCACACACACATACGTAGCGGGATGACGGAGAGAAAGCGGCTCAGGAGCTGCGGGACTGGCTCCTCGAGCCCGGCCGCTCCTCCCTCCCTCCCCCCTCATACCCTTGTGAGGGAACCAGGATAACGTCGGGGGTGGGGGTTGCCGGAGCCGAGGGGAGACCATCCTCTTTCCCCCCTTCACACAGCGTCTACCTCCTCCGTCTCCATCGTTTCCTCCTCCTCGTCGTCACCCAGCAAGGCGTATCCGCCGCGGCCACCGCTTATCCCTCCCAGACAAACATGCCCGTGCCTCCGGGCCAACCTCCGCCCCCGCCTGGGAAGAGAATGTCGAGCGCGGCGGGGACGGCCGGCTCCTCCTCCCCGTCCTCCGCTCTACGACTTCGTACTCCTCCAAATGGAGCTGCAAAGGCAGCCGGAAGCCAACAGGGCCTCACCTCGGGGTGCAGAATAGGGACACAACCTGCTTCTTTCTCGTACTCATCCAGAGGCGCCGCCATCTTTGTGGGAACGCGCCGCCCGCTGCATGCCGGGTAACGCGCTCCCTCACGACCTCTTCCCCCCGCCCCGCTCTCACTCTCTCTATGGGGAGGGGGGGCTGTCGAGGACGGTTAAAGCCAAGGATACGTCGTGTGGTGGCGTGGAGGGAGGAACCCGCGAGGACCCAGAAGGCCCCGGGTTCGAATCCCTCGCTCAGCCTTGGAAACTCACTGAGGGGAGTGGAACTGGGGAAACCACTCCCTCCATCTCTCACTTGCTTTGAACATCCCGTTACGTCGCTGCAAGTCGGTTCGGACTTGATGGCACGTAACAACAACATAACAAAGCCGGGGGAGGGTCGTTGGAGAGAAAGGAGGAAAGAATGTGGAACTAAGGGGAAGGTTGATGAGCAACGGAAATTTCACAGTCATCGGAGAATACAGGTCCCACTCAACTAATTAATTTTTTTTTCCCGCCAGCTCGTTTATATCGCGGGTATGGGACTGATTATAAGCCGTATTCATGAAATGCAAAACGGATCCCCACAGTTCCATATAATATCTACATGGGATTCTCCCGAAAACATAAACGAGTCTGTGCCCATAAAGTAAAACATAACTCTCGCTGCATGACACTGACATGGCACAAAACGCAGATCTGAGATGGTCGTGGATCCACATTGTCTTAACATGGGATCATCCCATGTGGATAGATCCTACACACACTCCCAAAAAAACAAACGGTAAAAATCACCTATCCCTTGCTGGATGATGTCACAATGGTACAAAAACATAGCTCCAAGGGATGGATCCTTTTGGATCCACAGCTGGCATAATGTGAAACAAATATGCAGTATTAGGTATTTTTTGCAATCCCATATTTAGCAATGTCATTTGAATTTGAGTTGCCATACTATTTTCTTTGCTCTTTTGTTCAGCTATATTTATACTTGGGAACTGTGACATTTTCTGGAACTCGGAAAACCATAATTTTCAGGAAATCCCATTGAGTATGGCATCAGTCTGATTATGGGATTCTGCAAGATGTTGTTTTTAAAAAGAAGAAAAGAAATGTAAAGGAAACCTTTTTCAATATTTTGAATTTTATTTAGTTGGATACCATAAAAAAAATTAGAAACAGCAAAACTTCTAACAACCTATTAAGATTTTTCTCTTCAGCATGTTCTTTGTTAATTTCACTCTAAATTTTGTCTGACAAGCTCTGTTCTGGACCTATCTCTTCAATCTAAGAAGATAAAAATCTCTCTGACAGCCAGCTTTCTTTCAGCACCCTCCGCAGATAAGTGTCATCAAATATTTCACAAAGGCTTTGTTGAACTCTTGACAGTTCAAACAGCTTCTCATCTGTCTTTGAATTTCACAGCTAAGATTTCCATTTTAGGAAAATGTCTGCTGCCTTCATAAGCGAAATAAATACAAATGAAACATTGTATCTTCAACTATATCCGTTTTAAAGGTTTTTGTGGGTGCCTGCATACTTCGACCTCAGAAAATATATATACTTCAACTCACATTTCCTCAATTCTTGGTCTTGATTACAAGGCCAGACTTAACATCAGACATAGGTAAAGGTAAAGATTCCCCTTGACAATTTGTCCAGTTGTGTCCGACTCTAGGGGGCAGTGCTCATCTCCATTTCCAACCCATAGAGCTAGAGTTTGTCCAAAGACAATCTTCCGTGGTCACGTAGCCAGCATGACTAGACACGGAACGCCGTTACCTACCCACCGTGGTGGTACCTATTTATCTACTTGCTTTTTTTGCATTTTTCACACTTTCAAACTGCTAGGTTGGCAGGAGCTAGGACAAGCGACGGGGGCTCACTCCGTCGCGTGGATTCGATCTTACGACTGCAGGTCTTCTGACCTTGCAGCACGCTTCTGCGGTTTAACCCACAGTGCCACCACGTCCATCAGACATAGTAAAATAATAAAATTATAGAATTGTACATCTAGAGGGGACCCCAAGAGTGACAGTCCAACATACTGCCAAAGCAGGAAAATGAAGCCTTCCATCTGGACATGGTTGCTTTAGATGGCAGGTGTCTCCCCAGGCCATTTCTCTCTGCTGTAGGACAGAGCTATGTACTCCAGTCAGGTAGCCTGTGCTACACTCTTAAACTGGTCCCATGCCCTTAAGTGAGCTTAAGGATTATATCCTGCCACCAGAACTGAGTTCAGATTAACCTGCCAGTCCCACTAGAATTCTGTAGGTGAAACTAGAATGGTACAACACCTGTCCTTTGCTTCAGCCAGTAAAATGTCTTTAACTGATCTTGGTTTATTACAATTATCAATCATACGGGCAAAATGTGCAAGGAAATTTAGCATTTAAAACCAGGCTTTTTGCAAAAAAATGTTATGTCAGAATCCTATCAATGAGTAACTAACAAAAGGTCCTATCATTAATAGTCCTGCTCAGCTCTTATGGATCCAATGCCATGGGTTCAGTTATTGAGTCAATCCATCTTACATTTGGCTTTCTCTTTTCCTTATTCCTTCAGCCATTCCTCCATAGCGCTGCCATTTTCGCCGCCACGGTAAGCGAGGGCAGCGCACGAAAACGCTTGCGGTGGCCATTTTGGGCACCCGGCGGCCATTTTGGAACCGCCGATCAGCTGTTCTAAAAACATCGCAATACGAAGATCGGTAAGCGAAATGCTTACTGATCATCACAATGCGATGTTTTCCCATTCAAAACATTGCAATGAGATCGCATTAACGATTGCGAAAAATAGATCGCTATGTGGATTCGTCGTTAAACGGTGCGCTGGTTATGCGAGGCACCACTGTAAAGGGATTATTTACAATTATAATAACTTGCTGTCACTTTATGACACTCCAAAACCTGAAGTAGCTGTGTCACTCTGCCTAATAGCAGGCACAATCTTTCAGATCAGACTCCTTTAACAGTGACAGCTCATGAAGATTTTTACTGTATATGGTATGTAGTCATGGAAGAATAACCTCCCTCCATCCCTCTGCATTGATATACCTATATGTAATGGACAGTCAGGATGTAATGCTAAGCTCTCATTACTTAAGTAGAAGAGTGGAAGAAAGGTTTAGCAGAACAGTGAATATACAGAGTATCTGCGCATGATTAAAGAAAAAAAGGTTTGTCAATTCTGCTTTAGCACAGAAGGGCTACTGATTACGGATATCTTTCGCTAAACTCACTTTTATGACGTTAACTGTTGTGCAGTTTTTAATGTAATGATCTTTTAAAACAAATGTAAAAGAACCCTTATGTGTAGTGCTATTTTCTGCAACACAGCATTTTTGCTGTGTTGATGTCATGTTCAAGGAGATCTTAATGCAGGCAAAGGTCCAAAACTATAGTCTTGAACAGATATAATTGAGTCAGCCATTAGTATGGCATGGGAGTTGCTGTAGATGGCTCCCTATAGCTCTTCTATAGTATTTAAAGAGCCACAGCCATGTGGATAGAGCTAATTATGTAGCTCTTTAACAGCGATTATTGTCCCTTTATTCTGGCCATACTCCTTCCATTCAAACATTGAACTGCTTACAGAAGAATGAGCATAAAGTGTTGCTGTTAGGGAGAAAACATTTAGACCTGACCTGCTCATAGATTGTAGTAGCAACTTGATAAGTTCTTTATCGTTGCGCAGTGGTTAAACTGCTGTACTGCAGCCCAAACTGTGCTCACGACCTAGGGTTCAATCCCAGGTAGCGGCTCAAGGTCGACTCAGCCTTCTATCCTTCCAAGGTCGGTAAAATGAGTACCCAGCTCGCTGGGGGGGGGCAATGTGTAGCCTGCATAATTAACTTGTAAACCGCCCAGAGAGTGCTTGAAACACTATGGGGCGGTATATAAGCACCACGCTTTTGCTTTGCTTTATGTATTCCACTATGTGAGCTGTAGTCCAGGGCACTGGAGGACACCAGGTTGGAAACGGGCTGGGATATATGTTGTGTTACTGTAGTTCATTAGGTAAAGCTTATGTCACAGCAGTTATAAGGACTTTAATCCCCACACAGTTTTAATTTACAAGACCACCAGTCTAGTAAAACAGGTGTTACTCTAGGACAGCAATGGCGAACCTATGGCATGTGTGCCACAGCTGGGACACAGAGCCCTCTCTGCGGCCACACGAGCCATAAGTCACCGGATCACTGCTCCCCCCCACTGCAGCTAAACCTGAAGAGACGGCTGCAGCTGCAGTGCTGGCACCCCGACACGTGGTGGCCCAGGATCCAGAGCAGCTGGCGCTGCCGGCGGATCCGGAGTGGGGTCTCGAGGCACTTCTGCCACCGCCCGCTGGGTTTTGTTTTGTTTTTAAGTTTGGGCACTCAAGCCCCAAAAAGTTCACAGTCACTGCTATAGGATAATAAGGACAATCCAGATTTCGAAGGTAAAAAGATCTTGTAAATATTTCTAGCAGGTCTGTCTTCTACTGTATTTCTCTGTTTATGAGACATTGCTACACAAAGGAAGTTTAGTTATGGTGGCATAACCCTGATGTTTCTCACTGCAACCCCACAAGCCACTTAAATATTCATACTTAGGAAGTTCAGTGGTACTAAACTTTTTAAAATACATGTACATCTTCTAATGTATTGATTACAGCCTTGAAATCATATATATTCCCATTTTTTAGTGTTTTGAGAAAAGGCCCATTATAAAACATCACATAGCTGCAAAAAGGCTGCACATCGCATCTCTTTACAACAGGATTTTGCCATCTGCTTAAGGGCTGTCTTTTCTATTCCCACTAATTAGGACAGGCACGCTATAGTTGCCCCAGGCAATAACATGCAGACGCCAGTACATCTGGACCTGTGCCTGCTTCAGCCCTGCAGACCTGATGCTGGAGAATGTGCTGCAAAGCCTCAAGGCTGGTTGAAAGGTGTCAATTCTTCTAAATCATTAATGGACACTGCCAGATTTGCTCACAAGCTCTGTAAACTACTGTTTAGGGACTAGGTTTATGAGAGAGTCTCTAAATACATACACACACACACTTTTTTTACATTATATTTCAAGTTTTATATAATGTACAGTATTTTCAGTAATGCTGTGAGAGTTCTTAAGGACATAATTTATCTGGCATAATGTAGGTCTTAATTCACCTCTGACCTCAAAACATGGTCCTTGTGTTACATGAGTCCACACATCTATTTCCCAAGTGTGTCTTGCCGTGATGACCTATTTTGTTACAAAAATGTTACCGCGAACCCGCGCAGAATCCAGCAGAGTTAATATTTTCAGGTCCAGAAGGCAAAATAAATCACTCAGACATGTTCAGCTTCCTCTAGCACGACACGTGTATTTACAGCATATATACAAGTGTAGAAAGCGACAGCATGAAAGCATGGCATCATCAAATGAAGGTGATGGATAAATGTTCTCTGTACAGTACATACAGTATATACAGTTGAGCCTCTGCCCTTATCCAATCAC